TAAAATGGTATTTGTCATGCCATAAAATAGGCAGATAGGTAGTAGGTATTTAACAAATTCATGTTGGTTGATTGATTCTCATTTAAAAACAAAACAAAACAAAACAAAACAAAACAAAAAACCTCTTAGAACTGGGTTTCCAAATCTCTTCCTGCCTGGCAGGGCAGGAACTACTCAAAGGCAAATCTTTCTACGTATCATCGTGGAGCTTTCAATTGCCCTGTTTCTGACCTGGGTCAGTTTACCCCTAGTTAGGAAATCTGGTAGCCCTGGGGGCTCAACAGATTAATACCAGACAGTGGAGATACCTGACTGGCTTTATCCCACTGCAGCTGAGAACTACCAAGCTCAAGAGATCCACCACCCTCAACCTCTCTGCCAGGTGAGATGACAAATGTGCACTACCACACCCAGCCAATTCCCATTTTAGAGATGAAAAAATTGAGGCTTATAAAAGTTAAATGAGCATGTCCACATTCACATCGCTAGTAGGTGCTAAGGGGCAGTCTTTAAATTTGAGTGTCCCTGACTCCATGCCAACACTCCTTCTGCTACAAAATACTCTCTACTTAATTAAAAAAATGGTTATTGAGCACCTTTTGAGGAATACAAAAAACTATAATAAGAAGTGCCGTATATACTATGTATGGTGTAAGGAGGAGAGAGTTAGCACCCCTCCCCTCCCTTCTTCAGCTCATTTGATGTAATCACACACACACAAATGGGGCAGATAATAGAGGTAACAAAAAAATTAATATATTAAACTAAGTGGAAATTGTGTCTACACCCTGGCAACCCTTTATAAAATATGTTTCCCTGATAAAATTGGAAGGACAACTGGCTGTTGGCTGGCCAAAGAATGAACATATCTCTTGTGATTTATGGAATGTGACTCGTTGTGGGACAGCATGGGGGCACCACATTTATCAGGACACAGAGATGGAGACTCCATAGACACAGAGAGTAGGAAAGTCAGGGAGCGTGAATCCAGGTAGTGAAGTACAAAGCCACCAATGAATCCCAGAAAGAACTAGCTCTGAGCTGAGATGAGGAGCTAACCCAGGGAACTCAGATGAGCAATCCACCCAGCAGAGGCACTGCATCCACCAGGGCACAGAATGAGTGTGCTGCAAGAAAGAGAGGTCACTTGGGGGACCTGTAGTACAAGAGGAATGGTTGCTTTAGTTACATGGATTCCCAACTTGAGTCCCTCTCTTCCAGTGTACTTACTCTGTGCTCACTGTTCCCACTGATCCTCTATGTGGGAGGATATTCTCCAGGTTTATGGGAGGAATGTTGTATAGCTACTATACTTACTCTGTCATCTGAGTAAATGCTTTTGCTTTGAGCTAATTGTAACTACTGGCTAATTATTAAAGGTAAATCACCCTGACTGACGCTCATAAGCTGTAGTTTTATTTGTATAGACTCACAGAACCTTTGAACCTGGGAATAGTTGCACCCCTGAAGATGTAACCTTCAAACCTTTGAATGTTAAGTCGTGGGGCATGATAGAGATATTCCCAGAAGGGTGTCACATCTGCTTCAAAGTTTATAAAGTATTTTACATATGTTATCTCATTGGAGAAAAACCTTAGTTTGTAATATGGATGCTTAAGGTTAAAAAAAGTAGAATTCTTCATAAGGATGTTTCCCCATTTCATATTTTCCCACAAGCAAGGTTCAAAATACAAAGCCTATTGAAAAATTACATAAATAAATTATATTTCCACTTCAAAGTTTCAGACTCAGTCAGCAGCAATAAAATTCTGATTTATGGGTCAAACAAATCTCTCATCCACAAAATCTTGTTTCTTATGCACTCTTCTCTAGGCAACCCTACCAAGAAAGGTACAAATCATTCCAAAGAGCCCATCTACATTGTATGGTGCAGCTTGAGACACAACAAAATCTAGAGTAAGTTGATTATTCTATGATTATCTTTCCAAAACAAAATACTATTGCCAGCAAAAATGATGTAAAATATTCTTTATTCCCCACATTTCAGTTGTGTGTATGTGTATAAATATGTGTGTGTGTGTATGTGTGTGTGTATTCAACATCACTTGCTTCTTTAGATGATGTGAGGCTATTCAAGAATTATATTTAGTGGGCTGAAGGTAGCTGATGTATATAAATATAGCTTCAGCAGGAGACATAAATAGTCCAACTCTTTTCAAATCTTTCTGGGTAATATTCAAGCGTCCTTGATCCTCTCATATTACTCTGCCCATTTTCCCAAATACTCCTCTCAGACACAAACCTATGTTGCTATAGACAGGAAGAAAAGATAGAAGAAAAATACATATACTGACTCTGTTTTTAACATGAAATTAATCCACTGGAACAAAATTGCTATTGATTTTTACCTATTATCATCTCTTCCCTGAAACACCTAATATGTTTTGTCATTATTATGATATTCAGCTTATTTCAAACTCAAACTTTTTGCTAAGAAAAAACATTCTGCAAGGTGTAGGGGTTTGTTTTATCTGCTGTTGTTATTGTTAGTAAGTTATATGCCTTTTAAAATACATGGAACTTAACTATTGTATTTGATTGATGAAATATTGCTTCAAACTGTTCATAAACTACAAAACAGAAAAACTGGATTTCCAGACTATTTGAATCTACCTGCATGCAGTATTATACCCAGCTAGGAACTGGGTATTGAAGCACAATTTTACAAAGGAGGAATAGGAGAAGGAGAGAGAGGGGGAGGAGGGGGAGGAGGAGGAGGAGGAGAAGGAGGAGGAGGGGAGAGAGAGAGAGAGAGAGAGAGAGAGAGAGAGAGAGAGAGAGAGAGACAGAGAGAGAGAGAGAGAGCTCTCCTAATGGTACCTATCTCTTCCACCTCCTCTAACATTCCCAGATATTCTCTACTTGCCCCTTGGACCATGTGGGGGCGGTTTCCTTCTGGCCATGTGTAAGTCAGTAGGGTCAGTAGGGTTGTTGATGTGAGATGCTATTTTTGGTAAAAGAAGAGGTAGCTCCTGGCCAGTATCCTCTTCAGAGCAGTCATCTGGGTGACAAGTTGTGATTTCATCAAGGGGTGGAGAAAGATAGCCCTTTTACACTTCACATAAGGAGAACATGGGGGCTATCAACTCCCCCAGATAAAGCATGAACTTGACTAGCTGGGGACCTTGGCTGCCTTGGCCTCTCTTATGTATACCCTTTCTTTATAATGACATTATGAGCACTGGAAGGTCAGCAGAGCAGCTGGCATCTTTCTCTTCCCCAGGACTCAAGCAGCTGGGGAGGGTTAGTAGCCAAGCAGTGTCAGGAGCAGGTAGTGCCTCAGATTTAAGGCATATGATTCTTGATTGAAGAACTGGGGGATGTTTAGCCTGGAGAAGTGAAGACTTTAGAAGGAAATGGTACTTGTCTTCAAGTGTTTGAAAAGTTGTCACCAAGAAGAGTGTTTAGACTTGTTCTGTTTGGTCCCAGATCCAGGAGTGATAGGTGGAAGTCACAGAGAGGCAAATGAAGGTCCTATATCAGGAAAAATATCCTAATACATGGAGCGTTCAGAAGTAGAATGGGGTATCTTGGGAAGTAGTGAATGCTGCCTCAGGGGAGGTCTTCAAGCAAAGGCCGAATGACCTAGTCATTTGTAGAGCATGTAGTTGAGGAACTCTTTTTTGGGTGTAGTTTGAGCTCAGTGGCTTCTGTGGTCTCTTCCAACTCTGAAACTCTGTGGTTCTGTGAAAGTTATGAAAGGAGTACAGATTCTCAGTAGAAGATGCTAAATTTAGACAGACATAAAACTGACTCCAAAATGAGTCGTTTTTTCCCCTTTTCTCTAAGTGCCAGGATGAGTGGAAGCAGTTGTTTGCTAATTGTCATAAGTTCATAAGAGTTTATATCTAATTAATTGATCTCTATGAAAGAAGAGCATTTTCTTTATTTTAACCTTATTTTTATGGGTATATATATTTTGGATCATTTTCATTTATGAATATTTTCCTCCATGTCCTACCCATTGAGCCATCCCTTGTAGCAAAGTAAAAAAAAGGAAGAAAAAAGCAGCACAATAAAATCAACCAAACCCATCAACCACATCTAATAGTTTAGGCAATATTCCATACCCACAGTTCCACCCTTTTGCAAAGAAGGGAGGGAGGTACGTGTTCTCAACTCTTCTCCAACCAGTGCTGGAAAGAGTGACAAGGAAAGCGGTGTGATCCTGAGGGAGCCCGATCTCAATGAATGCCAGAAGATGGAAAGAGTGAGAAGGAAAAAGTTTTAAAATAAGAGGAAGTAAATTAACAATAGAGCAAACACACATGTATGACAAGCATATTACATTTATGACCTTCTATGGACCCTTTCCAGCTGTCAAAGTGACCTTCCTAAAGCACAGGTTTGACCATGTTACCTCCTATTCAATGAATTACTGTTACCTCCAGGATCAAATATGAAGTCTTCTGTTTGACTTTTAAAATCCTCCATAGTTTAGCCTCTTCCGAGCTTTCTAGTTTTATTATACCTTCACCTCTCCACGTATTCTGTGAACCAGAGACACTGGTCTCTTTGCTGTTCTTCATAGGAGACACTCCATCTCCTACTCTAAACATTTTCGCTGGCTGTCCCCAATGTCTGAAATTCTTTCCCTCATCTCTACCTCCTGGATCTCTTGACTTCTTTCAAGTCTCAGCTAAAGTCCTGCCTTTCACAAGAAGCCTTTCCTGGTCCTCTTTAACCTTAGTGCTTTCCCTCTGAGGTTATCTCTAATTTATTCTGTGCTATCTAGCTAGCTAGCAAACTATCTGTATCTTGTTTGTGCATATTTTTTTTCATATTATCTCCCCATTAGACTGTGAGCTCCTTGACAGCTGGGACTGCCTTTTGTCTTTGTATCCTCAGTTCTTAGCACAGTAACTGACACATAGTAGATATTTAACAAGTGCTTGTTTACCTGACTTGGAATGTTTGGATCAAAAGGTAGGACCATTTTATTGATTTTCTTTTCATAATTCCAAATTGCTTTCCAGAAGGGGAAGGTTTTCTTCCATACTCTGTTGTTGTTGTTGTTCATCCATTGTACTTGAAGAGGACCAATGACATCACGATATTGGGGTCAGCGTACAGTGTATTTGACTGTGGCTGATCAGTCCACTAGAAGCTTGGAAGGTTGTACCATAGATCTAGTGCACACCATGCTGGGAGATCCTGTGCCAGGGTCTCCCATGTCTCATAATCAATACTAAATTCTTTAGAGAGACTTTGAGAGTGTCCTTGTAAAGCTTTCTGAGTGAGCACTTGCCTTGGCATTCAGGCTCCACGGCCAGCCCATCAGAGTTGCACTCTCTACAGTAGAGTTAGAATGCTTGGCAGTTCACCTTAAGAGGACCTCAGTGTGGTCTGGTACCTTATCTTGCCAGGTGATCTTCAGAATCTTCCTAAGACCCTAAAAGAAAGATGGATACCCTAGTAGTATGGGTGGTGATAACTGTTCTAAACAAAATGATCAACATGGGAAGCAAAAAGGAATAAAGGAAGGATTTTGGCTTAAAATCAGAGAATAATACTATATCAGAGGAGCAAGGGATTTTGAAAATCATCTGGTTCAACACCTTCATTTTCCAGGAGAGGAAACTGAGACTCAGACAAGTTAAAGTGATCTGCTCCAGATAACATAGCTTATTCATGACAAATCTGGGAAGATTAACTTAGGACTGCTGACACTGAGCCTGTCATTTTGAAATTGATGAAAATAGTTATTTGAACATTTTAGACTAAACTTTCATTCTGTAGGCACAGTACACTTCTCCATTTTGATATATTGGTACAAGGGTATTAATCTTTATTTCTTTATGGCATTAATTATACAAAGTAAAATAGTACTTCAGTATGTTATATATACTGTTATGCTATTAACACATTTCTAAGGTTGTTTATTTTAGTAAGGGCAGAGAGCATGAAGTTCCTTCGTGCCTTTAATAAATAAAAGATACCCAAATTTACCTCTTTCCTGAAGCAAAACAGTCAGTTCTCCACTTGACTCCATGCACTTGGTATTCATTGTTGTTCACTCAAATTTTATCAGCGTTCAGTTGTTTTCAATTGTATGTGACTCTTCATGATCCCATTTGGGATTTTCTTGGCATAGATACTAGAGTAGCTTACCATTTCTTCTTCAGCTCATTTTACAGGTGAGGAAACTGAGGCAAACAGGGTTAAGTGACTTGCCCAGGGTCACATGACTAGTAAGTGTCTGAGGACAGATTTGAACTCAGGAAGATGAGTCTTTCTAGCCCCAGGCCCAGCACTCTATCGACCACACCACCTATAGACCATTATATGAAGAGAGTACATTCAACTAAACTCAATAAACATTTAAGTTCCTAAATGCTGCACCTTGTGCTTATGCCTTCTCTCTGCTGTTTATCTCCCATTTATTCTGTCTGTATCTTGTCTGTACATAGTTGTTTGCGTGTTGTCTCCATCAGAATGTGAGCTCCTAAAGAGTAAAGATTGTCTTTTTCCTTACTTAGCATCCCTAGTTCTTAGCACAGTGTCTGGTAAATGGAAGGCACTTAATAAATGCTTGAAGACTTGACTTGTGTTAGGTGCTGGAGATAAAGACAAAAATAACAGTCCATACCCTCAAGGAGCTTATGTTCTAGTGAATAATAGTCATTGATATTTATATAACACCACCTTAAGGTTTACAAAGCACTTTATATACACTGTCTCACTTGAATTTCATGACAACCTAAAGAGATAGGTATTTACATGCATTCTTCCCATTTAATAGACGTGGGAACTGAGATATGATTGGTACTTGCTCAGGCCACACTGCTAGTAAATGTCTGATGTGAGATTTGAATCAAGTTTTTTCCTAAATTGGGCACCCACCTTGCCACCCTGCCTCTCATTTGAGTAAGGAGCCAGCCCTAGGAAATGATGCCTCTCTATCTCTTCCTTGCACAGGAAACACCCAAGTTAATGCTGGTGGGAATAGAAGGGAGAGGAGGAGTCTGGCAACCTGCCAGGTATGGGGAATTCAGATAAGCTAACATCAATATTTATCAGAATAGACACTTTAATTTCTCTGCTAAGGTACATATAGCACTTTGTATGCTTTTATAGTCATCTCTTTGTGAGATAAAAGTTTCAGGCCATTAACTGGAACAAAAAATATATATATTTGTACTCTGCTCCTGAGTAACTTGGGCTATTTACCACACAAGGAGGTCTTGTAGTTCATTAATAATATATAAATACAAGTCAGTGGAAGAAACTGCCTAGTGAATTGACTTCTGAGATGCTAATCTAGGACTCATTAGCTTTAAACATAGCCTGACAGCGCTGTTTTTTCCATGCAGAAACAATCTTCAGCAAAAGCAACACAAAGTATCTGTAGTCTATACTTCCTGTATATACTACTCGACAGCATGCACGCGCACACACCCACACCCACACACACACCCACACACCCACACACCCTCCCTTTGTTCCCTTGAGAAATTTGGGGTCACAAATGCAAGCTTTTAAGACAACATTGGAAGGTGTGAAGGCAGGTCTGGTCTGTGCCAGTCTCTAAGCCCCCTTCAGAGGTCAGCTGCTTTAGAAAAGAAGGGAGAAATGTCAGCTGACTAATTTAATTAGGAGCACAGTCAGTTGGCAGGAAAAACCCAAACCTAGCCCTAAGCTGCTCAGAAAACATTGAGTTTCCCTTATCTTCCTCAATGACTTTTTTTTTTTTTGGCTATGAACAGGGTCATTTCTTTGAAACCCTTTATTTTTTATCTCCTAAACTGTATGATTAGTAAATGCAAGAGTCAGGGTTCTGCTAATAGTCCACTTTCAGGGATAAATGCTTAGCTTCTGCAAACTCCTTATGTTTTGATTATTGTTGCTAGCAGAGGAATGCAGTGACTGAGCCAGAGTCCCTTCTGTGGCATGTGTGAAAATCAAACATACTTTGGCCATTCACATTATCAAATACATTACCATAATTATTTGTGGGCACTAATGACCACAGGTAAAACTTATGTTAATTAAAGGAAAAGATAAACAGCAAAATTTATAATGTAATGTCTTCCTAATTGGTGAATTTGCTATTTTTCCCTATTGTGAGCATTCATAGAATCAGTTAATTAAACAATCAATCAACAAGCATTTATGTAATGCTTACAAAGTGTTCAGCACCATGTAAAACTCTGGGGATATAAAGACAAAAAGGAAGCAGTCTCTGCCCTTAGGGAGCTCACTTTTAACTGAGTATATGTATGAGTAGATACAAACTTAGCTACTCTGGGGACAGCTAGGTGGTAAAGTGGATAAAGCACCAGCCCTGGATTCAGGAGGACCTGAGTTCAAATCCAGCCTCAGACACATAACACTTACTAGCTGTGTGACCCTGGGCATGTCACTTAACCCCATTGCCTAACCAAAAAAAAAAAAAACCTGACAAAAAAAACTCCAAACAAACAAAAAACAAACATAGCTACTCTGATCAAGTCAATGATCCAAGACAATTCCAAAGGACCCCTGAAAAATGCTTTCACCTCTGTGCCTCACTTTCCTCTGTAAATCTATAAAATGATAGAGTTGCTCTTGATGTATTCTAAGGTCCCTTTCAACTCTCAGTCTATAAGCTTATAAAAGCTTATAAAGAAAACCATGCCCTGGCTGAGCAGGGAATGAGAACCTTGTAAATTGCTCTGACAGTACAAGTCTAAGATAAATGACAACTATCTGCTTATTGTGTATAATGGGCTAGTTGAAATGTTTTGTGTTTTCTCTATTTGTTGGGGCATGTCTATGAATCTTTTTTTGCAGTTTTTGCAGTTTCTGTGGTAGAGAAAATAAATAACTATCCTTTACCTGAAGCCTGTATACACTGAGTACATTTTTCAGAAGGTGCCCTTTTTACCCACATTTTGGATAGGCCCTGCTCAGGAGCCCTTCCTAAGTTTTGTTTTAAAGATTTGTCTGAGGTTACTCTAGGATATTGGCGGAGCTAGAAAGAAAAACACGATTCCCCTGGGATCAGGCTTCCCAGGATTAAACCAAGGTCTTTATGAGACATAGAGATTAGCCTTTCTTCTCACATCCCATCCATCTTTCCACATTGGGTATCTTACCATCTGCCCTTCTGCCTTTCTTCTCTCCATCTGGAACAACACCTTCTTAAATGGACCTCCAAAGACTCTGACCTCCCTTTACCAAGGGAGTTAATCCACTCAGCTATAGTGTTTCACCCAGGGGCTGAGCCATCCAGATTGGTAAGAGAGGCAGGGAAAAGAAGGGAGAAATGTTCACCTTTTGTTGTTGTTCTGAGATGTTCACTGACTCTCAGACTCTTTGTGACCCTAGTTGGACTTTTTCTTGGCAAAGATCTTGGAGTGGTTTGTCATTTCCTTCTCCAGCTCATTTTACAGGTGAGGAAGCTAAGGCACAAGTGGTTAAGTGGCTTGCCCAGGGTCACACACACTGTAATTGATTTGAACTCAGGAAAAGGAGTCTTCCTGTCTCCAAGCCTTGTACACTGTCCACTGTACCACCTAGCTGCCCATTCACCCAATTCACTACAAATATTTGACTTGTTATTTTATTTCATGTTCTATCCAACTAGCCACTGAGTTGTTGTTGTGTGCATTATTCCCTCACATCCCCAAACTACCTCCGATTCTTCTCACCTTTTGTTTTAGAAATAGTAATTAAATCAATACTAGGATTGCTTTTGGAAAGAGCATGACAATCCACTGTTCTATGGGTCTGGTCTATATATCATCCATCCCCTGGAACTCTCAGACCCAAACTCCATTCTCTGGCTACTACTCTATTAGATGTGTCAACTGTCCCTGTTAGAATGCAAGTTTCTTGAGTAAAGAGATTATCTTACTTTTATATTTGTATCCCCAATACCTAGAACAATACCAAGCACCTAGTAGGTGCTTAACGGATCCTTTTTCATTCATTCATTCATTCATTCTCGAAGGCTATACCAATGAAGCTAAGCCCTGACATATCCTCCTGAGCTGCAAAAATATGGGTCTGTTGATGAGCTATAATTACCCCTTCCACATCACTGTGTTAGGGGCACTGCTTCTTCCCCCTCTTCCCCATCTGGCAAATCCATATAAAACTTTTTGGCCTTCTCTTCATACCAGAGAAGAAATCTGAATTATTATGGTATTAAAGATAAAATATATTGATATTATACAATACTATACATATATTTTATGTATTTCTGAGTTTCTAAACTTTTTCTGTATTGTCTGTTGGCCTTCATGTATTGTCTGTAGCTTCCACAAAATTCCCCAAAATTTCCCATTTAATTTCTTATGTTTACCAGTGATATATTCAAATCTCAATGGGGAAAGTTGCAATGTGGAAGGGATAACTGTATATGTTTGTTATGTGAGAACCTACCTAGATAAATTTGAACAGGCCTGT